GTACCCCCTCGTATATAAGAATTATGTCTACTGCCAAAACAACAAAACTCAGTTTTAATTTCGATCTTTATTGCTGCTACATATTTTGGTCATATAAGACCATCATCAGGCAGTTATACACAGGAATATGTATAGTCATTGAAGTACTGATATGGATCCTTATTGGTGCAACACATCATATTATATACTAACATAAAACTTTGGCCTCAATATATCATATATCAAAATTTATGTGTTGAATCTAACTTTGCCGACAAGTGGCGGTTGCTTGGTTGGTACAGTTTGTTTGCAGACTAAAACCATGGAGTTTGATTGTTTTTGAATATATTATTAAAAAAAATATTAAAAGTATATAAAAATGTTTAAAAAATATTAAAGTATTTCCAATGGTAGGTTAAGAATGTGTATGTTAACTTAAATATTTTAGGTTTCACTGCTACAGTGTAAAAAATGGGCATGTATGTTGTTTGTAGGTCTTATTGTAGAAGCTTTCTACGTAGTAAGTTTATATGATGTACGTGTTGTTAATGTGTGGATATTGTTATGTTATTACAAAGATATGTATCTTTATATATCGTACAATAAGGCGTCTGTGTTTATTGGAGAAGAAGGTAACATGCCCTTATAAAACATTGGTTGATTTTCACTGGACTACAGTGCATTACATCCTTGAAGAGAGAACTCTTCATACTTATGTTGTGAGAACTTCAAATCCAGCACTCTTAACAGATGTAAACAACTGTGTTGACAAGGACCAGCAGCAATTTACTGGACTTGATCCAACTAAGCCACAGAATGCAAATGCCCACTTAGGAAGCTGTGATGCTGTGACAGATATAAACATCCTGGAAGCCAGCAGTAAGAAGCACTGACTACCCAGAGGAAAGCAATTGTGGCACTGTAACTGGTCCATTCTTATCAAAGATAAGTGTATACCTGATAAATGTGACACTGGCCTGTGTACTATCATTTGCTTTAGGAATTAGCCATTAAAGTGAATCCCTTGGGACAGTATCTTATTGTGCGACAACCACAGGACTCACACAACATGCAGGTGTATAAAAGACAATTGTTACTTTGTTTTTTTTTTAATCTTATAACAGATTTACACCTGAGTATCTTGCACACAGCAAATTAGAGAATGACATTTTTGTGATGCACTCATCTGTCTCTTCATTTTATATTTTTAATATTGGTTTCTTTGGCGTGAGTTACATTTTTAGTAAAAGAGACACAGTTCTAATTGAATGTCATTACAGTGGAGCCTCGCTTAATGAGCACCACTCATAAAGAGTAATTCACATAATGAGTGACGAGAGGGGAAGTCCCGGATTGTGCGCTTGCTACATCAGTCTGTGTTTAGCACTCGTTCCGCTAGCATCTTAGTGTCGCTTGTGATCACACATTTTTCCAAACTTGTGTTCAGACATATTATTTGTGTTTTTTTTGGTGCAAAGTTTAATAACCCTTGTAAAAATGTCCCCAAAGAAAGAGCAGCAAAAAGACAGCCATAAGAGAATAAAAATAACCGTAGAAATGAAACATAAAATCATTGAAAAGCGAGAACGAGGTGTGAGCGTGGCTGATCTAGCACGCACATACAATCGGTCTACATCAACGATTTGGAGTTGCATTGTGTTACACAGCAAGAAGTTGTGGAGAAGAGTTTGTCAGAGGCGGAGGAGGAGGTAACAGCAAAGCAACAATCTTCTGGCGCAATAAGAGAAATGCTGAAAGCATGGGAAACTGTTGCATCGTACACTGAGAAGCATCACCCTAATAAGGCAGTGGCTATGTGCACTACAAATTTATTTAATGATAATGTTGTGTCGCATTTTCACCAAATTTTGAAGTGTTGGCAAAAACAAATGTCTCTACACAGCTTTCTAGTAAAGAAGAATTAGATATGTATCATAAATAATAAACTAACTATTTTTGTTTTCTGCAAATTGAATTCGCGTTCCAGGTTGGTTCATTCCGCATAGAAGAAAAGATGAAGATGATTCACGCTCCTTAACAATGTATATGTAATTTTCTTTGAATAAACGTTATACATAAAATTTTTTGAGTATTTTTCTTGGCATGGAACACATTATCGTATTTTACATTAATTTATATGGGAAAAATTGTTTCGCTTAACGAGTGTTTCGCATTACGAATAAGATTCTAGAACGAAGTATGCTCGTTAAGTGAGGTTCCACTGTATTTAATTAGGGCAATGAGCAGCTACTGGCATGAAGGAGGTTAACATATGAATATCCATCAAAAATATGAGAGGAAGAAGGTAAGCCTGGAGTGCAACAGTCAATGAATATTTTCATTAGCCATCAGAAATGAATCTACATCACTTTTGGATCTTTTACCTGCAGATTTCACATGGACCAGCTTTTATTGGCACTCCAGGTAACTGCTCCAACATTTTAAAAGCCACAAGGTCATATCTGCCTATCAAGAGCTGCTGTCATCTGAACTGGAGGAATTATAATCTTGTGAAACCAATGAAACATTGCTGACCGGAATATCAGTTTCTGAGTTCATGGTATGGCTGACTAGAGATCCCTTGGTGGAAAAGGGAGCATTAATGTTCATTTTGGGATGGGCAGCACTGTTGGTATTCACTGAACAATCACAAGTATGAACATTTCTGCTACCTAATTCTGATTTCTCACTAATACTCTTGGAGCATTCAGAACTGCCAACAATAGCATCATCAGCAGTGACTCCTTCATCCATCTTTGATGGAAGTGTAGCAGAATGCTTGTCATCTAAAATACAAGATTTGTCCTCACACTCAGCATCTTTGTCACTGAGCGACTTCTGTCGTATACTACTCATTATAATAAGCCTTGTGAGATTACTTTCTGCAAATTCTTTATCCATGTTAGGTCCCCTGCTGCATTCGTCAAAGCAACTCAGTGACTTATTGCTCAATGCCTTCTGTCTACTAGGAGTCTTTTTTGCTTGATGATCTGTAATCAAAGTAAAAGAAGTCACTACTTTGAATTACTGTTTTATAATGAAAATAAACAATTCTAGTGATCAGCATTAGTTGAAGGTGAGTGGCCAGTTCATGCCCCAGCCAATTTAACCCTGTGTAAATTCAGATAAATGGTTTTCCATTACCAGTGACACTACAACTTCAGCATGTCAAGATCCAATGGTTAAGGCACTCTCCCAGCATTTACTACTACAGATGTTCATGACAACAATCCCTGGTGCTGAGTGAAACTCCCACATAGAAGAGAAAGTAACTATAGAGTATGCAACAAACCAACATGTCCACTTTTGTGGGCTTTTTGAATTAATTTGTGAAACTCTTAAAATAAAGTGTGATAAGAGTACATAAAGTTTTTGAATGTTAGCACTTTGTTTTCATGGAACACTCACATTGTGTAGCAGACTCATAGAGTTGTCCTGCTTTCAACCTATCTTCTTCTGACAGCGGTAGAAGGTTTAACTGCAGACTTGACTTCTGGAGTATAGCTGCATCCTTCGCATCCTTTGCCTTCAACTCATTGCTCTTTTCCTATAAAAGTACCTTAGTTTGAATTTATGGTTACATACAGATCCTAGTGATGATACACAGAAAAGTGGTTTTAAAATGTTTAAAATGTACATATTTATGCAGTGGCATGTTCCCAGACCTTTTAAATAAATTAAACAAGATCATAACGCATATATATCACCCATCTATATCCAGTATGGTGGCATGCTTACCAAAATAATAATAAAGTTACATAAATCAACAATTCATTCAGCTGTTTTGAATGGTTGTGAAATATGGTCTCTTAATTTCAAGGAAGAAATAAGCTGGCAATTTAGTATATTACATGTACATGATTAAGAACTCTGTTATTTATGTAGGCCATCTAATATAAATATGAGGCGAAATCTAGGATGACAGAATGGACTGGTCATGTAGCTCAGATGTGAACAGGAAGAAATTTGTACGGAATGCAGGTGCTTAACGGCCATGTGGAAAAACAGAAAGGTGATGAGAAGAAAATATTAAGATGGACCTCAGGGACATGAGCTCCGAGGATGGGAAATGGATAGCACTCAGAATCATGTCCATTTTAATATCTATGCTGCAGAACCTTTACATTCTACTACTATTACAGATTTGACTGTGTGTAGCATAAGGGCTCTTGTTCCCTCTGCATTTAAAATAGGCTTCTTCCATGTCTGGGTAATTCTGTCTTGTGGAAGCCAAATGGGGTATTCAATAACTTACCCAGAACTAAGAGAGATATAGTATTAAGGACAGAACAGAAAAGCTGTTACAACATTCCTGATGTGCGGGCGAGCGTTGTCATGGAGAATGATAGGTCCAGCCTCGAGCAACTGAGGTCGGTTTTTGTGCATTTTTCTGCACAGATTTTGCATAAGTCACGATAATAAACTGCTGTGACACTTTTACCGCACTGAACTCTGTCTGTCATGATGATTCCTTGGTGATCATAAGCAAAGATCATCATTTGTTTGACCTTTGATTGAGATTGTTGAAATAATTTTTTTGGTCGTGGGGAAGATGGACCTCTCCACTCGTTGGACTGTGATTTCAGCTCTGGTTCAAAGTCTCTAACCCACGTTTCATCAATAGCGACAAGTCGATACAAGAATGCTTGACCTTCAATGTCGAATCTTTGTTTCAGCAAGGTTGCAATGTTGAGGTGTTTCTGCTTCTGTTCAGCAGTCAAGCAGTGAGGGACCCATCACGCAGAAATCTTTCTCTCCCTTAAATCATTTGTCAGAATTCGGAATATTGACGTTGGTGGAATCCCCGTGGTTTCAGAAAGTACCTCACATATCACACGACGATCTTCTTCAAGAGCATCTGACACAAGTTTCACACTTCGTTCATCTGTTGACGTTTTCGGCCTTCCTGGCCTTGGATCATCATTTATGCTCACATGACTGCCATGAAAACGACTAGCCCAGTGAGAAATTGTACTACGGTCCACTGTTAACTCCCCACAAACTTCACTTAAAGCACTGTGGATTTCTGTCGGTTTCTTTCCATGTAAAGTTTTGATCTTAATGTACAACCTTTGTTCTTCAACAGTCACAATACCCAAGAACCGTGCAGGCTCCATTTCTAACTCACGTTATTTAAGAACAGAGTATATTATAAATGAAACAAAATAACGTGTTTCTTTCTTAAGCCCTGAACTGTAACTGACATGAGGCTCACTGTTGTTGTGTCATCTAATCCGCACTGTTGCCAACCTGTGCATTATTTATGAAATGACCCACGTAGATTTCAACACAATACTGCCCCTTACCCTCTACCTCATTTAATTTTTTCAGATTGAACTCTGCATATGAGCTGTGTGTGTTGTTTCTTTACTCACTGTCAGTCTTTCCCTAACCTTTGTCACAACCAGGTAGTGGTCAGTATCACAATCTGCTGCCCTGAATGATCGGACATCAAGTATATTTGAATGCCATCTCCTATATATCAAAATATGGCCAATCTCATTGTGCGTCTTCCCATTAGGAGGAGATGTCCAAGTAAATGTATGAATGTTACGATGTAGGAACATTGTACTTTTGACAGTAAGATTTTTCGATGTGGCAGAGTTTACTTATTCTAACTCCATTATTATTACTAATTTTCTGTAAATTCTCATTTGAAATTGTTGGTTTGAAAATGTCTTCCCTACCTACTTTGGCACTGAAATCTCCTAACAAAAATTTCATATGGTATTTCAATAATTTATCAAATACATGTTCTAGTTCTTCATAGAACCTGTCCTTTGTATCATCAATTTTATATTCTGTTGGGGCGTCAACATTCAGAATTACGATATCACCTGAAGAAAGTAGACCAGCTACATCAGGTTTAAATGACAAACTACTGAAGAGGAAAACCTGCTTCGCCTGCCCTCATCAAAGGCAGAGGAAAACAGGATGTAAATATGGCAGATGTTTTAATACAATTTGCTTGGATTGTTCAGTGAAAGTACGTGTCACTTGTGATAGTGAAACACCGAGTGACAGATGAACTTCCTAACCTGATTCACAATATTCCTGTCAATTGGCAAAACATACCTCTCATTTCTTCTTTATGATGCATTCAGCCTTTCATTCATAAGGGACACTCATTACATCCTGTCTCATGGATATTTAACTGTCTCTTAAGAAACTGAAATGACTACTTGGCACCTCAAGCCCAAATGATGCATTTCAGTAAACATATATGTGTACCAGAGCCCTTTCTTCTGTTTCTATGTATACCTGAATAACTGGATGACTTTAAAAAAGCAACACTTTTGACTTCATCTTGGAAATGGTTTGTCACACCAGTTCTGCTAATTATAGATAACAGAGTGATACTTTGATTTAAGGGCTATACAAAAAGATGACTATTAATTAATGGTTAGCAGCATTAGTATTATATGACATTTGTTTCAGCAGGGGAAATTTCTGCTGATATTTTTTTGTTCACCATTTATCATCTGCATATTCTATTCATGTTTGCAGAACTCACTGACCTCTTCACCATGAACCACAAAGAGAATTTTGAGTGATCCATAAGCACAGTATGGTGTGGGCTGTTCTTCATATTGCAGTAATGCTGATACTTTACACAGGAATGACTAATGTTTTGGGATGAGGAAGAAGATGATGGGGCTTTGATAGTTGATGTGACTGGTTTTATTATTATTATTTTTGATAAACAGGAATGACTCAGCAGAAGAATAAACAAGCTCAATGTAATTAAACGTACACTCAACTCTCGATTATCCGGGGCCGGATTAACCGGGGCTTTTTTGAGGCTTATATGTTGTTTAATATTCATTAACTTTTATTTCACATGGTGAGTTGTAACACTATTTTCGCACTAGTGTGAACCGAGCTCAGCATTTTTTGGTCCCGTTATACTAACACAATGTTCTAGGGTAGGGGTGAAAGAATGCAAGGATTTGTGGAAAGTTTCAAGGACAGATACACCGCCCCAATTAGTCTCTTTGTATCGATCTTCAAGTGCGTTAGCAAAATGTCAGGGTGTAAAATGAAGCGTGTTGTGTTAAGTATTCAACAGTAACTCGTGTGAGCCGGGCTTCGAAATGTTAAGCAGTGACGAAATCGTAAGTTAAGTGGGGGTGCAGTCAGAAGAGCGGGAAGAAAGTGAGAATGAGGAAGAGGTGGACAGTGCTGCTAGTAAGAAAGTATCACATGGTGCTGCTCTTAATCATTTGGAACCCTTACTAGACTATCTTGAGAGTGAAGAGAAGAGTTTATTAAGTGACAAGCTAATATTATGTAGGCTTCCGTAAAAAGGAAAATGCCGCGAAAAAGCAAACGACAATATTTGATTTTTTAAGTGTTAAGTGTGAATATTCGTAAAAAGTGTTGGATGTTGTTGAATACTGTGATTGAAATAACTAATTCATACTTCAGTGTAATGTAAAAAAAGTATTAAATAGGCCATGAGATGACATAAAAATGAGGTTGAATAAATTTAAATACAAGTAGGGCTACAGTATTATGAAGGTACAGTATTACAGTACTACTTTTAATAAAATTTGTCTTAACTGGGTTTTCGATTAATCATGATTTCCATCCCCACCATTATCCCGGATAATCGAGAGTTGAGTGTAGTTAAAAACAGCTTTTTGCAATTTATAAATAAGTGCCAATGTCTGCAGCCACCTACACATGCTGGTTGCTTGCTCGCAGATTTTTCTACCCTGAAGATGGAGGCCATACGTTCCCCCAAAACATCGGTTCACACTAGATCTACACAGTGCGACAACCTAGAAGATGGCATTCTTCATAGTCACCGCCGTGAAAACTTCAAATCTTGCATAAATGCCAATAATGATGGCATCATTACAAAGACTTTAAGAAATCACATGCCATCTGGGGCTGTGGACAAAAAATCAAGCATTTTCTCCATTTGCTTTATTAGAAAAAGAATTCTGTGGTATAATTTATAAGTTCACAAAAACTGGTCAACCTTTATCAAGCAAATTTTGGAAAGTGACAATGCATCAATTACTGCAAAATGGAGTTAATTCACATAAAAAAAATATTAATCAGAATAAGTTAATTCTCAGTAACAGCCATACAGTATATTAGTACTGGAGAACAGCAGGACAAGACCTAACTCACAAAGACTGAAGACTGGACACCATCAAAACCAGAGGAAAAAGCATCATGGCCAGTATGATGTTTCAGTGCCATTTGACTGCTGCTTGGCAGCGGCTTCTAACAATGGAGACTCCTCTGCTCATGCCTAACCATGAACTATGACACACTCCTAACACAGACTTCTCCCGTCGGTCCTCATTACATAACATCGGCACAGACCACACAGAAAACACTGCTTCCAAAGTTTATTTTATTGTTGTGCACATTTATTGCTGAGGAATTGCGTACATCACACCCATGCCTAGTAATGGACCTCTACTCTGGCTTTCAGGTGTTATGTAATATTACAATTTCATAACATTGTAGTGTGAAGGCCTGTTTCTGGGTACTGACCTCGAAACAAGCAACAAAACAACATTTGCTGCCAGGCAACAGATTCTTAACAAGTATATTCAGCCATTACTGGGTAATACCTAGGCAAACATACATGTTCCCATGGAAACGGAGTACAACAATGAACAGTGTTTTCTACGTGGTCTGAGCCGAGATAACTGGGACAAGTTTAGAAGTTAGCAGCTGTGAGGGAGTTCAAACAGAGTGAGGTGGATGAGTTGTAAGGGAATCTGTGAAGAGAAGACTTGGTCTATGCAGTTGCAGAATCCCCACTGTTAGAAGTCATTAGCAGGGGATGACTGGTGAAGAAAAAGCAAACTTTGTGTGTGCTGTAGTGACTGGTAAAGTATGGAAATCAGCGATGGCACTATAATTAGGTGTAGTCACAAGTTGTGACTTCAATCCAAAACCCTGTTGAGTCACACAAAATTGTGACAATACTGTACATGTAATCTTGTGAGAAAAGTATTAACCAAGCATGTTTGAATTTCCTGCCAGTAGTTTGGATACTAAAAGTATGTTGAAAATAGAATCTATTAATTTGTAATGATAATGCAATGGTCCACACAATTAAGTGCTGGCAATACACCCTCGTTGGAATAGAAGGTGAAATGTACAATATTATTTTCATTGTTCAAATGCAAGCCGGGGTAGCAAAGTTGGTATAGCGACTTCCTACGGGCTGGACGACCAGGGGGTCGGAGTTCGAGTCCCAGTAGGGTCAGAATTTTCTCTTCTCCATATTGTCCAGACTGGCCCTGGGGCCCACCCAGCATCCTATCCAATGGGTACCTGGGGTTCTTTCCCAGGGGGTAAAGCAGCAGGGGCATGAAGCTGACCACTCACCTCCAGCTAGTGCTGAGGTCAAGAAAATGTGGATCTATACATTCACTCCCCCATATACCTTCATGGTGTAGTGCTCAATTAGTTAAGCACGAGGACAACTTTACCTTTTTACTGTTCATACACTTCGAATATGCTCCACCCTATTCATAGAAGAGGTGACAATTATCTATGTTCTCACAGACACTGATGTCATCTGGAAGAAGCATTCCGACTGCCTCTGTGGTCTAGTGGTCAGAGTTCCTGGCTACAGATCCAGAGGTCTGGGATTTGATTCATGATTTTCTGAGAAATAGTGGGTCTGGAACGGGGCCCACTCAGCCTTGTGAGGATAATTAACAAGCTATTTCAAGGAAATTGTGGCTCTGGTCTAGTAAACCGAGATTAACAGCTGTGGGGATCTGTTGCGCTGACCATGTGACACCCACTATCTGCAAAAGTTGGCACTAACTTCACTGACAACGGCAGCACCATAGCTCAAGCAGTTAGTTTGCCAGATTCCCAACGTGGCGGCCCGGGTTCGATCCCGGGTCTGGTCAAGCGGGATTTGTGGTGGACAAAGTGATGCTGGGGCAGGTTTTCTCTTATTACTTCAGTTTCCCCTCCCAATCTTCATTCCATCAATTGCTCCACAATCACCCTCACCTATAGTCTGGGGCTGGTACAATAGGCCAGAACTGGCTGCAGTACAAGGAACTTAGTCCCACCCCACTAGCAATTAAAAAAAAAAAACTTCACCAACAAGCAGCAGTCGCTTGGTCGGTATATATCGCTTGCGGACTACAGGCCACGGAGTTTCTTTTTTGTTTGGAAGAAGCATTCCAGAAAATGTCCAACAGAGAACATTCTCATCACTGAATGAATTTCCATTTCAGAGGCCACCTGTGTCTCTACAAAAAAGAACTTCTGTGATGGATGAAACAACCAACTGTTTCCTTTATGTTCCAGAAAAAACACAAAATTCGGCACTGTGCATAATTCACAGGTATTGCATAGAATGACCAAAAATCTCAGAAAGCAAAGTTTGCTGTTTTAAACATAGCCAAGCATTTATAAAATTTTGGACTATCAGAGCAGCAGCTGTTAAATACAAGGTAAAGAAGTGAAGCAGGGGGGAAAAAATCCTTGTACAAAAAGGGAGACAATCCTTTCACAGTGCTGCGGTTTTCATACTGTTGGAAGTTCACTCCATAGTGACATGTCTGGATTGCCCATGAAGACTCAACTGTCTTCAGTCACCATGAAAATTTCCAATCTTCTAAGGAAGAATGTTCCTAATTTTGTTTGTTGAATGGGTAAGAACTGTCAAGGATAAATTAGACACTATACATAAAAAACCAAGCAAAGAGCAATTTCTGAAGCAAAGAGAACTGAAAAGCTCAGTAATAATACAGTAATTGCTCTGCATTTCTCGAAATATAGCTGCTGAATGAACATAAATGAGGTTCTACAAGTGCATGGTGGACTACCTATTCATTCATGGCACATCTCTAGCCTTGCAGTAAATCAAACAGCAGTCAGAGAGCCCTCCTGCACTAGCAAATGGAAGATCTATAATGCAATTAAAACACATACATGGTCATATGATTACATAGCAACTGCTGAGAGTGGTAGGTTCCAACACCAAAACACATTTCACAACACTGTAACAAATTCTGTGACACTCGGTGATATTCACCTCCCATGATTTCAAGAACAGATTCATTGTAAGAGATAGTAAACAAGAACAAATCATATATGTGGTACTTTAACAAAAGAATTGGCCACATCGATTAACAGCGATATTTCTATTTATTGTTTCTCTGCTAGATAAACAATATGGACAGTAAAAATGAGGAAACACCTAAAAGAGGTATTTATTAATGAGATTATTAGTCTGAGACTGCATTAACTGGATCCTTAATGTGGGTTACATTAAAGTGAGGAATATTAAGTGTGCATTCCACAGCAGCAAAGTCTGCAGCACAATTGGTGAAATGATTTGTAAAAATGGAATCTTTTATAATAATATGAAAGTAGAGATACACTTTATCACTTAATAATAATTAACTTCCTGGCAGCAGAACCTGAAGGTTCAGCAACAATAATATTCAAGCCAAAATCTGACATAATATTGAATTAGTTCCATGCACCTTCTTTCCTCACAACCTTGTAGTGATCTGATCTGACTTCCACCCATTTAGCACCAATGATGGTGATTGATGCACTACATCATGCACAGATTGATAGAGAGATAAATGTGACATCTTTGTGACGTACACTTACCGCCCTGCTTCATAAAGTGAGCCTACAAGCACTATGTGGGAACAGAACTTGTTTATGTAATGCATATATTACACAGCGTAAAATTCTGACAGCATATACAATAACTGATGACACTTACCCTGAATTGCTGTCTCAGCACACAGTTCGCAGCATAGTCATCCTGCCACAGTTTCTGCCGCTTTGCTGTTAATTTAGCAAGAGTGGGCTGAATACCATCTGCCTGTTTCTTGTCTCCATAACCATGCTCCAATCTGAACATGGCATCATCAAACAGCCTTTTCGATGTACTCTTATCCTCTGGTACAACTTGCTCATTCTCTTTTGGGTCCCAACGGTTCTCTTGTCGTCGAGCACCCGACACAATTATATATTCACTTGTCTGCAATATATCACATCCATTATGATTGTTTGAAATAAGGGTTTCATTTGAATCATATTCAAGTGATGAAATTTTGTTAGAGAAAAGACACATTCAAGTGAAAATAAATCTGAAACATGGAAACACCATTTTAAATGGACTGATTATGTAATTACTAGCAAAATGTAATAAGATATTCTCTGTCCCAAAGTGATATAACAGAACAGCATTAACTTTCAAAATGCTCAGGCCAGGGAAATAATGTTATGTAACTTGAGAATGCATAATTAAAAATTTATGAGAACAAACACTGAGATGACTAATACAACACAAACCCTGTTTAATTTTCATCTAGTTGCACATTTTTCTCTTCACATGATTTGAAGCTTTCATGGTGACTGCAGGTACTGAAGTCACCTTCGGTGATGAGACACATAAATATGTAGTTAGCATCCAACATTTTGGAGACTGTCTTGTCTCCATCTTCATATCAACCCCTGATGATGGAGACTTAAAACAGTCTCTGAAATGTTGGATGCTAATTTCATATTGCTGGTTGCCCAAGAAGACTTCACTACATACTTTTCCTTATTGTAGTGTTTTATCACATATCATATTCTAATATAAAAAATTAGAATATTATTCATAGCTGCTATGTCTACATTATGAGACTACGACTTTGAGTAACCTGCTAGAAATTATGAAGTTTCTAGAATGAAGGAAGGAAAATTAGCTTGCTGTACAGATGTTATGCCTTACCTTTGGTTCAGTTTTTATTTCAATATAGTTGGGGCAAAGATGACATTTCATTCTAAAGCTCCAGATTGGGGTAGTGATGTAATCACCAATTTTCTTTTTCTCAGCATTATACCTGCAATGGCACAGATACATCCATTTTCATATATTATGAAACAACTAAACTAAAATGCTAAAAGGAACATACATTTAGCTTGCAAGGTAACTAATACATCTGCCACTGAACATGAATAAATGCTTACCAGATAATATTCCTTCAAGGACATATTTCAGAAATCGATAAATCATTTCATGTTCATTAGCATGTCTGACTTATAACTGAATGCACAGAAAAGATAAAACTCGGTGATGTCTTCTCTCTCAAGAATAAATTACTTAAACCTTGGGAAATGAATATGACAAACATTTTCAGGTTTAAATTAATATGAAACCTTCAACTGCAGGCACTATCAAATCACAAAAACGATGTGGCTCCACTTTAACAGCAGTTCTGAAAATAGGCAAAAACATGTTTAAACCACTCATTTAAAACCACTCCATGGCATGGCTCCATTTTTACTGTTAAAGTATCACTAAGCAGGTGACTCACACCATTCTTCCATCAATATAGGAAGCAATATATATCGCACCCCCCCACCCACTGTCAAAACAGCCCTTTTTGAGCCACAGCCTTCCTTAGAAGATTCTGTCAGATGTGTCTGATTTAGAACACCCACTTTTCATTTCTTTTTACTGAGCAAAGTTGCCAGGTTTATATGCAACCCCCAAGCTGGAAGACTAGGTCCATGTTTCTTATGTCCCCTGGTGACGGGCGGGTGTGTGTGTGTATGTGTGTGTGCATGCGTGTATATATATACACACACACATAAGAGTGAAAATATATTTTGGTCAGAACTGGAGCCACCCGTTCTTGGACTGGCCCTTCCATTTGTGTAATACTTCCAAAACCCCACTGCTGTATACACTTTCATCTAAATATTCCAAAGCTACAGATCTATTTGAAACTTGAAGTTGACAGTGTTTTAATTTTTTGAGATTAAATCTTTCTTCTGAAGTATCTAGCACCAATCATATATAATATCACCACCATTTATGTATTAAGACATGATCAATTTGGTTGAAAATATACTTCGTAAATAATTTTTTTATAAGAAAACTGTCACCTGATATGTACTGCTGATGAATACATAATCTAGTTACCCACACATAATAACTGTTTCTCTCAGCTCGGCTATCCATGTTCCAAAAAATATGACCCCATCATGGCTCTCTAATATTACATATGCCATCAAACCACTAGCAGATGTGGCTCTGGCTCAATTATGTATATGCCTAACTCACAATTAACATTCTTTCCACGGAAAAATATTACGTGATAACCTGAGAGACGGCTAATAATAATTTGGCTACTTAGGCAGGCCAGACAGATGCTCTTCACATTAATGAAAGTTGACAAACCAAAAGAATACACACATTATAATGTGTGTTAAATATTGCCCAACAAATCATTTAACAGCTACCATGCACTGAACTTACGCATTATGCACCAACTAACTGCTACAGTCTTATATTGAATCAATTTCAGAAGTTTTGTGACAGCTGATGTTTTTAAACCTGGTGTTCTGTGCAATGACAAGCTTTCAAACAGAATCAGGCCTAGCACCAACTGCATCCTGTTCTCTGCAGTCAGTATTCAATATTCTTTTATTTTATGTGTCTTACTTTATTTATGATCATATGTAGTTTTTCAACTTGAAATTGTAACATCCTGCCCTTTATGCAAGAACTGCAGACTGTGTGGATTAGCGACAGCACTATAGTTATTTGTAGTTATAATCAGTAAATATTCAATAAATCCAATTACCAATCCAAGTTCGGTCTACAGTCACTCATACACGTAATGATATATATGCACATAACTTTCCACTGTCATGGGATAGCAACTTAAATTCAGTCTTAACCAAAATCAAATTATTAATATAATCTACATCTATTTTAGTAGTGACATTAACAATCTGATGAATGAAACACTGATGTTTCGACACAGAATACATGAAATTCAGTTCAATAAAATAGCCGGTCACTTACCGAACACCCATGCCAATGTGATTCCCGCATCCGTTACACCAAATGTTGAATGGCATTTCAAATCGGATGATAAGTATACCCATACTAATTTTTCTAGCACGTTCCCTGAGGGCATGGGTTCCCAAGAACTTGTTAAGGCCACCTTTCCTGGGGTCATAGTCAGGAGGGTAGTAATGATTGGTACCTTTACGTTCTCCCATATTGACCGGTTGACTGAGGCTCTGAAAGTAAACAAAACATACAGTCATACACTCCAAACTGCAAATGTTGTTTATCTTACAGCATAAGGCATAGTGGTCAAAGACATAGAAATTCAACAGTATATGGATAAAATGTAGACCCCATGGACTAAACAAAGAGTTAGAAGAATATAACAAATATTTCATGATATTCCATTGTTCTTTCATTTGAATACAGGTCTACATCATACTCATGTCTTATAGTATGTCGTAGAGATGCATCCTCTTTGTGTCCATCATTCAAGGTTTTGGGATTAGCCAACACACATGCCGTTAAAACTTTATAGTTTCAGTTCTATCTCACACTGCCTGCTTCAGCTGCAAAGCAGTCATCATTAGTTGCCGAAACACTGTACTGCAATAATAAATTCAGAACTAAAGTTTACTATCAAGCACAAAACCAGTAACAGATTACACTTTTTTAGAACCTACCCACATACAACAAATCAGGAGATCTAGAATTCCATACAAATCAAAAATCCACTTCCTCTGACCTAATTATCTTCAATGACAAGGTAAAGTTGGCCCTGTGCTCAACTAATTAAGCACTACGCCATGAAGTCGTATGGGGGAGTGCATGTATAAATCTACGCAGTCACGCTTCTGAACACAGAGAAAAGTTCTTGCAGAACTAATTGGCTACTTTGTATTGATACAGCACATTCCACACAGAAAAAGAAAAAAAATTGTGGGGTGAGGCACAATAAGCAAGGTGATCTCACAGGTGCCCTTTTATTTTTTAAAAATTGATGGGAGATATACAGACAGACACACAGACAGCAAGGCGATCTCATAAGCCTCCTTTTTATTTTTCCCAAATAAGTAAAGTAGGTTAAAAAATCAGGTATAAATTATCTAAGAAATAAAGACAACAGTCCCCAGAAGGAATATTACAAGAACTCATAACCACAAAAGAAATACTAAAAATCTATTAACAATCAAGTTCCTTCCGTCAAATGTGACACTTTTTTAAGTTTTCCACCTCGTCAACACCTGCCTTACATGTTTCGGCTCACCACGGAGCCATCATCAGAGGCATTTATAGTAGAAAAAGAAATCACCAACACACAAAACTTCACTTTGTCCAAGATAGCCACTTTCCAGTTAATTAAAATAATTACAAATAGTTAAAATTACCCAGAATGTCGATTCACTAAAAGTTTTTCACACACCACAGTAGCTTCCTTATTTGATTCGTCGTTAATTCTGTAAAATTATGTTTCGTTATTTGAAGTAAGAATTCTTAAAATCCCTAGAATTCTTTCCCGCTTGGCCCAATCTTTTTGCTTCGGGATGTTGTTG